GACATGAATTATATGTCGACCTATGCCAAATTCTTAACAACTCTTGTGGCAGGCACGACTCCATCAGTGGAAACAAAACAGCAGCGTATTTATCAGAACTGATGCCCAGAGTGGCAAGCGCTCTTAACTGTGTCTCTATCTGATCATATAATTTAGTCAAATCCATTTTTTGACGCGAATCATTACATTTTAGAACTAGTCTTAGCAACTCGTGCACGTAGAACTCTATTTGCAAATCTCGCCCAAAACTACTTTTCATACACTCAATAATTTTATCGTAGTTTTCGCCAAGACTTGGTAAACTCTCTACTATCTGACGCGCACGACTGCCTGGAACTGTAGCTTGTATCAAGTACTCGATTTTGTCGCAGTTTCCTATCCCACTATCGCTGTGTATTTTTTTAAACTGAGACCAAAACCCTACCCACTCTCTTATGTTTCCATCATATTGTTTAAATTGCATTCGAGGTAGTTTAAATTTGTCCTTACCTGGTGTAAGGTCAATATTTACATTACCCTCGCTGCCATCTCTAATAACTGGTCCTACTGCAGGCTTCAACAGACACCTCTTCATTCTTAACTTAAGTTCTGTAAACCGTTTCAAGTAGACCTCTCGTTCATCCATAACTGGTCTTACTGCAGGCTTCAACAGACACTTCTCGATTCGTAACTTAAGCTCTGTAAACCGTTTGAAGTAGACCTCTCGTTCATCCATTTCTATCAACAACGCGTCCTCCTCCACGTCTTCTTCAAGCATTATGTCATAGATCCCATTATCACAGGCATTTAAACTGTCCCACTTGGTCTGTAAGCACTTCCAAAATAGTTCAACATTGCTACTCACCAAAGGAACTTGTATTATATGTCCGTCTAACTCATTTGCGATCTTCATAAAGGACGCGCGGAGAACTCTCTGATTTTTCCTTTTTGATTTCAGGTTGTCAACCATTTTTACCTCTGTTTACTTTTCGTACGTACACTTATTCTTTTGCAGCTGTATTTACACGCAATGTCCTGTCACGGTCGCCAAAAAATGTTGTATCCCGCCGAAGATCAAATTCACCGTTTCGATTCTGGTCGGGAAAATATTGCGTTGCCAATACTTGCACACGTTGAATAAGTGTTAGTAAACACAAGGAAACCTGATAACAAACGAATTCTTGAAAAACCTTACAACTTTATTTCGAATGACTTTTTATTATTTTTCTTACATTTTCATTCATTGACATTCGCCTACTCATATCAAAATTATTAGCTGTGTTGCGACAATATATACATACTAATAATAATATAGTGGATATACCTGGCACTTATTTTTTTAGTTTAGAGGTAGAGGAGAAGCATTATGATCGATCGATGGTTGTAGATTTTGCCTAGACTCTAGACCACGACAAGTCTGTTGACTTGCCCGCCCCTATACTTTAAATACCAACACTGAAAAGAATAATCTAAATTCATGAATGCAACCATTAATTGGCACGCGCTGCGCGCATGTGCCATGTGGTCAACACTCAACTTGAAGAGTGACGCTCTCGTTTGACGTTTCAATTGATACAACTTAACCTCATTTATTTCCTTCCCCAGTTTTAATTATCAAGCACATTACAGTTATTACATATTTTCACTTAATATGGCTACTTCTTCTTCAGAATTCTATTTGCGTTATTACGTTGGTCATAAAGGTAAATTCGGACACGAATTTCTCGAGTTCGAGTTTCGACCTGATGGTAAACTACGGTATGCAAACAACTCGAACTATAAAAATGATACCATGATTCGTAAGGAAGTCTACGTGCATCCTTGTGTTATGGAGGAGCTAAGAAGAATAATTTTGGATTCTGAAATTATGCAGGAGGACGATTCTTTGTGGCCCCAACCTGATCGAATTGGACGTCAAGAACTGGAAATTGTGATCGGCGACGAACATATATCATTCACAACTTCAAAAACGGGCTCGCTGGTTGATGTGAGTCAGTCGAAAGATCCTGAGGGATTGCGATGTTTTTACTATTTGGTGCAAGATTTAAAATGTCTCGTATTTTCTTTGATTGGTTTACACTTCAAAATTAAACCCATATAGTTTACAGTGTACACTACACCATTTAATTTATAATGGCTACAATTAGCCAATTACGTATTTTATGCATTAAACCTTTGTAATTTGTATTCAGTGGTAAATAAATAATCACATTTCTTAGAAGTGGTATTTATTTGCAAGACTTTTACAATTCTTGGTCATCTGGATGATACAACTCGGACAATAGACGGTAGACATAAGATGGGGCGTTACCTCCTCTGGATAAAACAGAATGTATAAAACTGCTAACGAGTATGTACTTACTGGTGTGAAATAAACAGTGTTACTAATTCCGGTGGGACATAATCAAACACAGGATTGTAGACATGCACTTTATCCAACAGTGGTCCACTTGAATATGGCAACACATCAGCTGGGGAGGCGCAAATGTTAAAAGCATCTTGCTCACTTGAACATAAATGCATTGGGCTTAATTTATACATATGTGCCAATACCATTATCTGCAAAATGGTGTTATAATTACACAAATACGATCTTTAATTATTCTCGGAAACCATAACAAATAGAAGAATGGAATTTGTGGGAGGTAACAAGTTCAGATCTTGACAAAATCTGGTAAGGGTTTTTCATCAACATGAAAATAACCAATCCGAAATTAGTTTTAGAAAATTTGAGAAAGAATTCAACTGCAATTCATGATGGGATCACCAAATTGTCAGAATTTCATGAATACACTACACTTCTGTATTTAAGAAAATCATTTTTAAAAACCTAAGCAAACCTGTGAATTCTATTCTTCTGTTAAGGTTGCTGAGAATAAAATTAAAACACATTAATTTGGGAATATTTGACCATACCAAATATTTTGGACCCTTGGTTTATGTGCATATATAAACATATAGTTACGATTGACAATGGTACTCATCCTCAAGTATACGACGTATACCCTTAAATAAAGCCGCACTATATACGTACAGGAATTGAATAATGTTTAGCAGCCAAAGCCACCATGTGGACGCCAGATTCAGCTCTAAGTCCTCCATTAGCCAAAACAGTATGTGTTCCAATAATTACTTTATTAACCCGAGACATCATAGCAAACACAGCGGAGTCTGGTATAACTGTTGTCTCTATATTATTTTTAGCTAAATTGGATGCCATCAAATGACCCTGAAAACAACTGTAACATATTATGTTTTCAGCTCAGGACTTACGAGAAATCGGGGCGCTGCTTCAACGACAACGACTTGAAATTTACGACTTTTTGCGGCATATTTCAAAAACTTTTCTACTGTACTTGATTTACCTACAGTTAAAATAATTTCATTCGCATGAATATGTTCTAAAGCTTGTGCAGCGATGTTGTCCGCACTTAAAATAAAAATGAGACTTTTAGAAATAGACCTAGATCCTTTGAAATACCTTGATTCCAGTTCAACTTTATATTCGGCCAAATTGTCTAAAAGTGATGATTTTAAAGATGGTAACACTTTTGAATAATCTTCACAGTCATCCATAGTGGTTGATCCAAGATGATGTGCTGACTGTTGTCCTTCGCCTTTATTCTACATTAAACATAAATTCATAGTGATCACATTTTAAAAAGTCATGCATTGTTTTTTGGAAGACTTACTTTAAATCCGCTATCATACTCATCCCGTATTATTTTTAAAATATGCCGCATTATATTTACAGATGTAGCCTCCTGTGGTAGAGCATTAGCAAACCTAGTGATACGTAGTTTTATTAACGTCATTAGATCCCTAAAAATAATGATCAAATTGTGCAATACAATCTACAATAAGTTAATACTCTGCAGAGTTCCATTTTCCCTCCGATATTAGTTTTTCAATCAATTTCTCAGTATGGATAGCAATATCATAGGAATTATGCAGCTTACTAAAATGTACATATGGTTGTTTTCGTAGGTCCGATTGGTGGGCCTATTATATTTTACCTATGCCTAATATCGCTGATCAATTTTATTACATCACTATACAATTCCATTTCTAACATATTTACTTGTATTTTAAATTTTAAAAATGAAGATTAAAATATGTGAGGTTATATTCAGAACAAAATGACGTCTACTTGTGGCGTGCATATATCGGGCGATCAAAAATGAGTGACTGTCTAGACGCCTTTGCAAGTTCAAGTTAAGTACGGTTTCCCATGTAAAGTAGGGAACACACGTTCACGACAAACAGGTACGCGCATACATGTTCGTCAAACATCAACGCGTGTGTGTTGCACCGAAAAACGCTTTCGAACATGTAGGTGGATCAGAGATATAGATCTATATCTCTGAGGTGGATTCATTTAGTCTGTGCGATAATGTTTGACGAACATGTACGCGCGTACATGTTTGTCGTGATGTTCGATCGTGTGTTTCCAGCTTAAACAAAAATTTCAAAGGTGACTAGACGGTCACTCATTTTTGATCGCTATGTATATAAATAATATAGTGGAGATGATGAACACCGCGGGTGAACTACAGAGTTACATTTGTAAATAGAGAAGCAGTACATTAAGGACCCTGCGCGTGGAAAAATAACCCCAACCAAGTACAGTGGATACATACCTATTGCGACAAACTTGAGCTGCTCGCGCATAGCCGGTGAGCTGGCGGAATTAAAAACCAATTAGTGGAGTGGAATTATTATTTGAGTCTATTTAATTAATACACAAAGTATGGTAATTGATTAAGCGGTAGAAAACGGCAGTACAAGGGACGGACGGACGGGTGGACTCGGGCGCCACCAGACCAAAATCTCGCGCCTGGACGATGTCGGCGGTAATCACGGACGGATGGGTCGGTTTCGGTAGCCTCGGAAGTAGTTGCAATCGAAGATGTTAATTCCAGCACTCGGCGGCCCTGGTTCAGCAAATGGCGGCGGTACTGTCTGGAACCACTGACCTGAATAAAAAATTAAAATAGAGGTCAGTGTCTGGAACTCTAAAACAAAATATGGCTTACCGGCAAATTCCCTAGCGGAAGAAAAGTAATTAGTCACAAGGTGGCCGTTTTTATAGCGGACAGACTCGGAAAAAAGGACAACCCCCCCCCCCCAATTAAAAAAAAACGGTTTACCTTCGAAAATTAATATCGCGGTCGGACAAAGGTCAATAAAACAGACAAAAGATGAAACTTACTCCCTGTACGTAAAACGCAAATAGATAGATCTAAATTACGGTACGCAAAATAGTAAAAGATATTACGGACTTACTTACGGCAAGCAGAACGTAAAAAGATAGATAGATCCTTCCAAAATTGAGCGTTTTCCTTATAAAGAAAACCCATTTTGGTAGAAGTGAAACAAGGAAAATCCAACTCGTCGCGCATTCAATACGAAATCGAAACCAATAAATTCGATTTTTAATTAATTACTCTGTTCGTGCTAAAATTCCCGAACATCTGGCAATCGATTCGTTAATTAAGCGCGCACAATTTGACACCAAAATCTCCTCGGTAGGTACTTCTTTACTGGAACTCATTTAATTAGTGTATGCTAACTATACATAGGTACTCAAATGAAAGCTGAATTCTTTACATTAATTAACTTTATGTTAATTTCACGTTTTCGGCCACAAAGGCTGCTTGCGGTTATCTCATTCTTGCAGGCAGGCCGTCAACTGTTAACGAGCAAAACAACTAGTTTCGGAACCAGAGACTTGTTATAACAAGTCTCTGTTCGAAACTTGTTCTATCCTTGGTTTTACTTATTATAGAGAAATAAAACGGCCTATAAACAATTAACGGCGCCGAAACTAAAGAATATTAATTGTCCTTCATCTTCTCCAGAACAAGATCCTTCGATGCTTACAAAAATAATTCCAAAATTCCAACAGGAACGGTCGTAGGCGGACTAATTAATAACGGCCTCTCCTGGTCTCCATGCCCCCGCGTCGATAATTAAGGTTTTCAATGTAACGAAGCCCAAACCAATCGTTACTATACAGGGTGGTCCTCGTAAACTGCAAACTCCACTCAGAAATTCGGGGTGCTTCGTTACACTATATAGTTTCAACGGCCGGGCCGTTGTTACACATGCGCGGTGCGTGAAAGGCGAATCAGTTGATTTGCTTTGCTCGCAGCTACGCTGTTGCGATGTATGTATATACACATTGGCTCGTATGAATAAAAGTAAGCAAATGCTTATACTTGCAAAATTCAAAGTAAATACTTCTAAGCAGAAGGACAAGACGCAGTGCAGCGCTGCTAAACCATGCTAAACAGACCAGCATGAAAAGGGGCAGTTACGAGTATTTACTTTGAATTGTGCAAGTATAAGCATTTGCTTACTTTTATTCATACGGGCCAATGGCTGTTGATTTGTCACTATATCTCCATCCCGTTAGTGCGCACACTCGCGTACGGCCTGCGCAAGATTAAATGCTTTCTTTTATGTCTTAAGAATATGTGTAACAAATTTGGTTCTAATCGGTAGAGCCGTTTAGCCGGAAATGATTCGGATTCCTTGTGTTTTAAAACGTGTATTTCCGTCAAAAAATTGGGGGGGGGGGTCATTTTACCCCAATGCAATACTTCCAACTATTGCGGGTAGCAAAAATCTTCTTTTTCTCCAACCACCTGAATAAGACGCTATTTTGTGACAGTGTTCGGTACCTAAAATTGACGTTTTGCGGATTAATTGCTTTCACCATGGCAACTGTACAAAAAGTGGATACTTTTGGTCCTAGTACCAAAAAGAAATTGACCTTGAAAATTGGCCAATTAAAAAATTACAATCACGGAGATATGTCACATTGACATCGTTTTACATTGCAGGTTGTAAGATATTTCTATACATACAAATCAAATATTTTTGCATATTCAATGCAAATAATGATGTTACCTATACGTATGTACATGTATTGAAAATGATTTACGCTCGCTATTTTTATTTAAACCATGTGTAACGTAATTTAGATATTCCGTGAATGTAATTTTAATACGTATACAACCCGCCGTCGCGCGTAACGCCATCTACTTCAGACCCATTGCACTATTATCTGTCATTTTGAATTCAAAATTTGAAAAAGTTAATTGCAATTAATTTTAATTAAAAAACTGTATGGTAAGTATTTTATTTCAATACAAAATATAACAATATTAATTGTGTATACAATAAAATGACTGAAACTGATAGCGACATGGATTGCACTCCGCCAGAGATTATAGAAACGGCAGAACATGCTACCTCAAGATTTGCTCCCTACAAAGTCGCGAGAGGTGAGAAGTAAGAAGTAAGAACGAATAGGTAATAAGTTAACCTAAAAACTAGAGTGGCATGACACGTGAGGACAAGAAAGCAGAAGTTCTTATACTATAGTAGTGAAACTGTGACTGAATCTAAATTCGAATATAATTTGAAGTACAGGGGGTTGGAGAAAAAATTTTATGTTTTATTCGTACAAAAAATGCGTTTTCGGGACTCGGAAGGTTGCTGGACTCCGCTAACGCGTCGTCCAGCAACTATCTTCCTCGTCCCGAAAACTGACATTTTTTGTACTAATGAAACAAATAACTATTTCATGAGACATTTGCTAGTACAGACATAGCACTGCAATTGTTAGTAAAGAATAAAAAAAAAATTGGAAAATTCGAAACCGTTAGTAGAAAAAAGCGCGCGCGCTCGGATTCGAACCCGCGTGGTTGCAGTTGTAAGTCAGCAACTAACCTCACGCATGCTTTCCGTATGCTCGTGTACATTGGCGAGAGTTGAGCGGTGAGCGTTGTGCGATGGAGCGTTGGTATGTGTACTTTAATGAGCGTCGACATCGCAAAATTACAGTGTTACATGCCTCCATTCAAGGGCAGTTCGTTTGCATTGGAAATGAAACCAATATATTTTTAAAAAACCTTCAAGAGCACATTAAACTGCCATAGACTGCGCCGCACTATAGGAATATTACTGTGCGATATTGCTCATAATTCAAGTCAGCTTGAAACGCAGCGGTACCGCTTAGCGATGCCGCTCACAGCTTCCGCCAATGTACACACTTGGATTAATTTTAAAAGTGCTTGATTTTATTTTACAAACGCCCACCGCTCAATGCTCGCCGCTCGCCAACGTACACGCGGGCTTATACTCGCTTTGACTATACAATGTGGGTGCCTAATCCTTAATTATGCGCCACCCGGTAGCTAAGCGAGGGACTACGATTCTGACGACATGTAAGAGGTCCGTTAACTTAGCACCACCATTTCAAATTTCTAACTAAAGACAGATTCCGCTAGAATCTCTATGGCTAGCGCCACTTTGAGTTAGGCTGGCGTCATTATAGATCCAAAAGTTCAGCCTAATCTATCAACAGTCACAGTGCTCTTTTCGCATCGACGTGTAAATAAATATAGAAAACGAGCTCCTGGGTATAGCTACAGCATGTGCAAAACCAAATTTTGAACTTGGTGTTAGTTTTGCTTTTATTTAAAGTGTATATGTATGAAATTTCATTTAATTGCTTCCATAAATAAGAAAATTGGCACCGCACATCATGCACAAAACCAAATTTTGAAACTGGCGTTAAATTTGCTTTTATTCCAAGTGGCTATGTATCAAGTTTTTTTTAAATGCTTCCATAAATAAGAAAGTTTTCAATCCGGTTTGTAAATGGCCGAGATGCGAAAAGGGCACTGTGAATGTTGATCAATTAGGCTCAACTTTTGGAATTACGTTTTATATGGCTAAAGCTATACGCATATTGAATTTAAGGCAATTCGGTTCATAACTCACAGAGATTTCAAAGGGGCCTTCCTTATTTTTTTGGGCTATATTCTATATTGCCAATCCACGAACTCCGATCTACAAATTTGATAAAGAATCCATCTACAAAATTTCATCGTAATCGGTCAATTCGTTATCGTGCTAACGGACAAACGGACAGACACCGCAAAATTATAAAACTAGCTCTAAAATTAGTGGCGCTAGCCGGCGCTAGGTCAGCAGACCACCAAACGTAAAAATTTTACCCGAAAAGACAAAATGCTGGTGCTAGGAAAAATTGCCCCCCACCCTATTGGGGGGTGGCGCTAGCTCTCAAATTTGTGGCGCCAGCTGGCGCTAGATCTGACGAACACAGCGCTTGCTTTTGGAAATGATCGTACGCAATGGTGGTGCTAGCGTTAATATAGCACCCCCCGAAAGTCAAAGGCTTTTTCGCAAAACCTATAATGGCACGAGCTGAACTCAAAGTGGCGCTATAGCTGGCGCTAGGTCAGCAGAACACAAAACGTCAAAATTTTACATAAAAAGACAAAATGGTGGTGCTAGGAAAAATTGCTCCCTCACTATTGGGGGGTGGCGCTAGCTCTACAATTTGTGGCGCTAGCTGGCGCTAGGCCTGACGAACACAGCGCTTGCTTTTGGAAGTGATCGGACGCAATGGCGGTGCTAGCGTTAACATAGCACCCCCCGAAAGTCAAGGGCTTTTCTGCAAAATCTATAATGGCGCTAGCTGAACTCAAAGTGGCGCTAGCTGGCGCTAGCTATAGAGATTCTAGCGCAATCTATCTTTAGTCAGAAATTTGAAATGGTGGTGCTAAGTTAACGGAGCCTCAAACAACAATGTTTCGAGACCGTTGTGTATGCCCGTGGTTTGAATTGAGCATTTACTCCTAATTCATTCAGTATTAAATTCATATAAAAAGTAGGATGCCTTAAAAGAAGACGTTCAAATAGTAATAAATGCCAAAATTCGGCTACCTTCCACGTACTTCAAATAAACGTCGCTCGAGTTTATCCACACCATGGTATAATAAAAGGTTGATAGCCTCAGCCTAAAATCAATATTAAAGTTGGAATTAAACTAATTTCAAAAAATAAATAAAAAATAAAAACATTAACCGAACTAAATGTTAAATACAATGAAATTATTAATAATAAAACTACAAAAGAAAATAAACCCCTATAAAATTGAGTGATCAACACCAATCAAAAGCAAGTAATTTAAATGACAATTTCTCCGTCTCAGTTCAGTGTTAGGTTTGTTATCTGCTTCTTGTTTTGCAATTACTATATTTGGTGTACTCTTACTTATGTGATTTAACTTTATCATGCTTTGCTATCAAACATTTATTGCAACTCATTGGCAACATAATTTTGCTATTGCCAAAATACTCTTTGCTATTGCTTAGGTAGGTACCCATTCGAGATTATTAACTATTAAAATAGGTACTCAACGTTTCTGATCAAAATACGAAGACTTGTCTATACACAAATTATACTACTTCGGTTTTATTTTGTGTTCCTTCTCTGGTCTAAGAGTATAGGTACATTACACACCCAAAGGTCCGATGATCGTGGTCTATTGTACTAGGAATATAAACAGCACAATACCTAAAATTCTCTTTTAAAGGTTCGATTTACGTAGGTCTTTCGCGAAAATCTCTGATGGTATATTTTTAGCGTATTTCCACAAAAATAAAAAAAAATGCGCTATTGTGGCCACTTTGTCCGTCCGTCCGTCCGTCCGGCTATCCGTCCGTCCGTCCGTCCGTCCGCTCGTTTTGCGACGCTACTAGTTCTTTATCTTAAGAGCTATTGTTCTACTTTTTCGCTATTTGGTTCGTTATGGTGTCGAGTCTTGTACCAAGGAAGGAATTTTTTCTGTACCGCTTACAAAAAAAGTTATTGTAAAAAAAACAAAAAACCGTTTTTTACATGTTCCATAATTTTACACTTTTGCCGTTTATTAACGATCCTAGAGATCGTTTATAATTTTGCATTGCTATCTGTCGCCTGCCGGTTGGTCTGTCCGTCTGTTCCTTTGTCTGTCTGTCCATCTATCTGTCCGTGTGAACGATAACTTTGTTTAGAAATGTTCGATCACTTTTACATCTCCGTTAGTTATGAACTGAATTGCATGAAATTCAATATGGGCATAGCTTTAGCCATATAATACGCAATGCCAAAAGTTGAATCGAATCGATTCAAAATTCACAGTGCCCTTTTCGCATCTCGACCATTTATAAACCGAATTGCAAAATTTTTTACTTATAAAAGTATTTGAATGAAATTTGATACATAGGCACTTGGAATAAAGGAAAATCAAACGCCAATTTCAAAATTTGGTTTTGCGCATGCGCAGTGCCAACTTTTTTATTTATGGAAGAATTTAAACGAAATTTGATACATAGGCACTTGGGATAAAGGAAAATCAAACGCCAATTTCAAAATTTGGTTTTGCGCATGCGCAGTGCCAACTTTTTTATTTATGGAAGAATTTAAATGAAATTTGATACATAGGCACTTGGAATAAAGGAAAATCTAGCGCCAGTTTCAAAATTTTATTTTGCGCATGCGCAGTGCCAACTTTTTTATCTATGGAAGCATTTAAGTGAAATTTGATATTTAGGCGCTTGGAACAAAGGAAAATCTAACATTAGTTTCAAAATTTAGGTTTGCGCATGCGCAGTTCCAACTTTCTTATTTAGAAAAGCATTGAAATGAAATTCTTCTCATAAACTGACATTGAAGTAGCACGACAAAAATGGATTGCCCATGTGCAACGCTATCTTTCATATTTGTGGCCGGATTTTTACGATTTTATAGAAGTTGCATCTTACAAATGGGAAATGAATGCAAGTGGAAATGCGCTTTATGTAAATCGTTTACGATTACTTTTTAACTTGTTTTCCAAGATGCGAGTTACTAATGCTGACCGGGATTCTCTGTAATATGTAAAAGGCATGGCATGGTGACAGTTTGCGATTGATTGACGAACTTCCGGTTAATAAGATCTCTCTTTTAATTTCTTCGTCAACTGGAAAGGCTTTCTATAGTCTGATGCTGAAGAGATCCAATTTTGTCTTCAGAGTAATCTCGAAGGGTTGTTAACATTTTTTTTTATATGTAAATCTTGCAAGCTCGAGCTGCCGTGACTCGGGTTTCGTAATTCAAACATTGGGACAATGTTAGAATAATTCAAAATTTCTGCTACTTCAACTGAGTTCAACTGAAGGGAATTGAATTCAAGAATTCTAGAATTTTCATTGGCTACACCCGCAACGATTCTGTATTTTTGCAACTTATGACTACAAATTTCATAGCCCTAGAAATTTTACAGTGCAATACTGCAAATGACCGTTAAATTTACTTGTAACGAAATATTTCTTTTAAATAATTAATCCATTGATACACACCGAACATAGGCTGCTGATTCACCATTATTAGTATGTGAATCTGCTGCATTTATAATATGTATGTAACAGGCAGTGTGCGTTTATTATTACCCATACATTAATAATTATTCTACAAAAATTCTGAACTCGTCATTGACATAAAATTTTTAATCTTAAACGAAAATAGATTATAGTCATTTACAAGGGAAAACTATTTTTGTACAGCGTAAACGTTTATTCTTCTGATAGTTGATCCTGCCTTCGATTCCAAGTCATCCATTGCCTCAAATTATTGCCATATTCGTCATTAGAATTTTGGGAATCTTCTGGTTGGTCAACCATATATGGTACCTAAAGAAGGCAATAATATTAAACATGCTTTTAGCGCATCTTCTCATTATGGGTATAAGCTATCCGTTCTTCTGCTAGTTCTGTCATACTACTTAGAACTCAAACATTAAATTTCTTTGTTACCCGCTTTAATGATCAGAAATTTCAGTAAAATAATGCTATTTCATAATTTACAAAAAGCAGAACAGTAGTAGTGCAAAATGTACCATTGTCAAGATTATAGATACCTATTATTATTCGTTTTATTATAACGACAAAAAGTAATTTTAATTGTTTTAGTAGGTACCTAATTAAATTACGTACCGAAATTGGTTTAAGTCCAAAGTCTACTCTTTGCGCGACCATGAAGGGTGTATCAAGAACCGTTACAAGTCTCGTGTGTGGTAAATACCCATTTTTATATGCTGTTATTTTGTACTGGCCAGGAATAAGTAACCGAAAATAGTCACCATCATAAACTGCAAATATCAACGATAAAAAAACTAAGAAATATGGCAATTCATTTTATCTTACCTGACGTTATGTCGTGTTGAATGTCCTTAGATATGCCTCCGGTAACGTTTTTTACATGAATGATTGCATTTGGTATTCCCTGCTTTGTTATACTATCATAGACGATACCTTTTACTCCAATGTGACTCTGAAAGTGTTTTTGTTAATAGTAACTATAGTAAATAGTATATTAAGATACAAGTGTATAATCAAGTCTTTGAAGCACGCGCAACGAGTTTAAGGGCACGACGCAAAGCGGAGTGCCTTTAACGTTGCAAGTGCTTTAAAGACCAATTATACACGTGTATCTTATAGTATTTTTTATTATACCTGCAGTATAATTTAAAAATAGGAAATACAATGAAGTCATATTGACGTTATACTCGAATACATGTCTAATTAAGTGGGCTGGGTGTTCGTAATTTCACGATTGCCATGGAAATGTCACTTGACGTTTGCTTATAAAAATCATCGTCTTTGTGAATTAAACGATTTCCATTGAAAAAGATAATACACCGTTCATTAAATCGATTGTTGTAAAATCTAAACAAACGTTGGTAAAGCCTATTATAAAGAATATGAAAAGTTGTTTCCATGGATGAATAGGAAGTTACTTACGAATACAGTCTTAAATGAATCGATAATGCTGGCATACATGAAGGAAATGTCAAAGGTATTTAAATCTTCTATATTTTGGTGCATTCATTCAAAACTTCCAAGCAATGTTGCGATTAAAAAGTAGAACAGATTTGGAAGCATACCCTAAATTACGCGCGTTTGTGAAAGCTTCAACCAAAGGATGGGTACAAAAGCCAAAGAAATGCTCTGCATTTACAGAAAGCGACCTAAGAGGATTTTTTATTTCATCCAGATGACAGTTTCAAAAGTCATACTTGAAGTATCGTTACTTAGCAACTTTAAAGCACGTGTGTTTTAAAGGCCTTTTTTTCGCACGCATTTGAGTGTTTAAAACGGAGATTGTGATTCAGGTATAATAAAATAGTTATTTGTGTACCAAGGCCGTAAAAGTGATCTTTTTTGGCCGAAGCTGCTGTTTGTGGCCGAGGCGGTAGCCGAGGCCGCAATTCAGATGAGGCCTAACAAATCACTTTTGGCCAAGGTGCACACAACATTTTTTAGGCGATCATCAAAAAAGAATTCAAAAATTTGCTCATAAACATATTTTTTCTGAAAATCATAGTTATCTTAGACAATTAAAAACAAAGCATTTCCTGTCATATGTAATAAATTATAATTAGCATCTTTGCGTGTGTTTTGTGCGTATCAAAATGGGTGATAGCGACAGTTCAGATACCCAAAATGAAATTTTGGAAGCTGCAAGCGTTGCGACTCTAAGTCATATACAGTGAGTTTTTTTTAAATACGCACATAGGAGTTTGCATGCAATGTAATTTCCCTATGTTCGATTTAAAAAAAAACACATCAATCTATGAGGCGTGCGCGGTTCACATTCCCACCAGCAAAACGCGCAACTTGTGTGACTATGAACAGCAATTCTATAGTCTTTATGATGAAGAGCACTTGGTAAGATTTGTTTAAAGAAGCCATGTGAGGCCATGGCAACTTTAGGATACATTTTCCTTAAACTTACGATAACATAACCTCACAGAGCACGCACTGACACCACAACTCATTGTGAACCAATCTTCAATTATTTGTAGTTCATGTGCACCTGATATTCTACTCATTTGATCTATTCAATACATAAATGAAGAAAATAAATAACGAAAACAATTACAATAAATGTTCGAAGTGTCCTCCTTGACATTCGAAGCCATAACCTAACCGATTTCGTAATTAAATTGGACGGCGGTATTTTTAAAAATGTGACAGCTGTCACTTGTATCTACTACTCATTTGAACTACTCAATAGATTGATGTGTTTTTTTAAATCGAACATAGGCAAATTACATTGCATGCAAACTCCTATGTTCGCATTTAAAAAAAATTCACTGTATGATATAAGAGCAGTTTGAGAGTAAAAGTACTATCGCAACTTCCTCCGCTGCACAAGATTTTAATAATGTCAAATGCAATAGGTCCTTCGTAACTGTGGCTTCCAAGACCTTATAGTTAACATGCTGTACAATTATTAGAAATCTGATTTCCTACTTTGGTGGTAGGTATAAGTAGCTACTTGTGTTTTCGGTTAATTGCTGGTGATTCTTCGTATAATAATGTAAGCAATAACATCTTCCTCATGTTTTGGTTCTACACTTCAAAAAGGTCTGCAACTGCAAGCAGCAAAGATTGAAACGTCAAACTATAATTTTAAATGTGAACATTGTGATTATGCAAAATGGTGTGAAACATTCCTACAAGTCCGAAAATGAAAAAACGCACGTGGATGGCCCAATCCTTGATGGGGCGAGACCAGATAGACGCTTTGTATCAAACAGATTACTGTTTCTCACACATCAGTTTCAAATAAGTACAGTTTGACAGATGTGTACAATAAAGTAAAGTTTGACAGAAGCGTACAATAAAGTGAAACTTTATGGCCGCAAAAGCGACCATAAAATCAACGTTTTTGTGATGATAGCCTAAAAAAGTAGTTTCTACCGCAAGTTGGAAAAAACTGCCGCAGATCAGAATTTGTAGACATATTACTATCTCATTTGGGTTTTAACTTGATGGTTATCCATCAAAAAGAAACAGAAGTAGGTATATAATATAACAAAATGGATGATTTATTCCTTCGTACTATACAAAATGGTCTACGTTCTACCTTATTAACGAGCGATAAAAAGCAAGTTTATGTACGTCCCTCCGTTCGTCTATTCGTCTGTGTGCATGATTATTCCGCGAACGGTTTCGAATTTTCAAATTCTGATTTCAGGAATAAGTAGACAATGTTCAAGGGACTTACCTACTGATTAAATTTAGGCCATTTGGACTTGTCGTTCGTTGTCTATATTACTTTGATACCGAGTTTGAAACAGTTTATTTATCTAATTAAGTGTAACTTAAAACAAAAACTGCAATTACTCGCTTATCTTACCTGCCATATGAAGTTTACCAAAGATTTTTTATTTCTCTCCCATTCCGTTTCCAGTACGTTTTCTGCAGGATATTTTTCGCATCCGAGTTCTAAGGTTAGTTCAAACGCGTTACTGGATAGGTAATTGAAATCTTGCATTCCTAAAACAAATCATTTACAGCGAGGAACACGAGACACGCTCATTAACAAAGGGCATGTGGTTAGTAGGAAACACATTAGGTGTACCTATAGATACAGAAATAAGACTCTGTAGCCTTGATCAACTTTCGAAAAGTCCAAAAAATTGTTGAACACGAATAAAAAATCTGACATGAAAACCTTATCTGAGTCGCACTTTTGGTTCGAGTAAACACGCAGTTTAAATGACAACAGGAAAAATGTATTCCCCAAAATAAAATTCAACAAGACGTTCAGCTTTTAGAGTCGGTGTTTTTGACATACCCCGCAGGCCAGCGTTAGACAAACAATTAAACCAAGAAATCTTAATAACTTACAGTTATTAAATAATCCAATCAATCACATCACAACCGATCTAATATACTCACTAAATGCCCCTTAATTAATGAATGTGCCCCTTACAATTAGTATAGCACACCCCATACCTCCTTCTAAACTGTACCACTTAGCGCCGTTTGTAATACCGCCTTGCCGTGTAAATCCATTGTTTTCCGAATCGCTACACTCTCTTCTGGTCGGACTTGCCATATCTGCATGCGCTGTAGAGTATGCCAGTGCTAAATGCCTACCAAAAGAACAACCGTCAACAATCGAGGATCAATACTCCGTACTTACTTAAATGTAGCGTCATCAGGCGAAGTTGAATATTCATTTTGGGGCACACCAGATCTACTTTCATCATAAGGATAATTCGCCACCAAGTCCCCTCCATGCAAATTTGCAGATAAGACAAATGGAATTTGCATTATTAGTCGCACAACAGCTTTCGTTTCAGGTTGAAGCTAAAAATTGTAATTGGAGAATTAGATACTTTACTTAGCATATCTTACAGGTTGGGATAAGCGATCCACTTGATTTAATATATGATTATTATTGTCAATGTGATTTTCCTCATTTATAAACATAATTCGGTCCAAATCCGGAAAATTTCTATTGAGATCTATTGAGTTGTTGTTAAAACGCCCCAGAACGTAATCCAGTCCTCCCTAAAGCGGAATCTTTAGTATGCTGGTAATGAACTCAAGGGTTTGGTACCGTGTCAGTTGCCAGTTGCCAACCATCAGGATTCATACTAGGCATTATATGCATGCGAGTGTTCTCTATCAGTGCCCGAATATTTAAGTTGCCATTTTTGTATTCTTCGCACAAATGGTCGGCCAACTTTAGCAGAAGTTCTCGACCAAGGACTTCATTTCCATGCATGTTTCCTATGTATTTGAATTCTGGTTTCACTGTTAACAAACGAAAATAATTTATTTTATTGATTTACTGTAAACAACGAACAAAGAAACTCCGACAAAAGAGGGGTACTCGATCTCCTCTCCCCTAGAGCATAACGTTGAGGAAGCTGCCCCCCTCCCCCCATGGTTACGTTGAAAAATTACTTATCTTTGGATATAAGCTTCCAAAAAGTTACTACTTCTTGAGCACTTTATAAATGACATTTTTTTAAAGGTATTTCAAACATTTTAATTTTTTGGAAATTTAATGTTTATTTTCTATTTGTCTTGAATTCTCAAAAAAACTTATGCGTATTATGAAATTCTTGGAAACCGTCACATCCGTCCAAAGAGGTGTAAGAAGTGGTCCCTTTAGAATTAAAAAAAGTATTTTGTCGAAAATATATTTGTACTTACGGGAAAAAAATTGGAGACAATTAATTAGTATGCATCTCGCTCACAGCAAAACCAACTTCATAAAAGGGCAAATTTAACATAGCGGAACATAGGCATTTTATTACATTGCTTTTACGATTTTGAGTTTTACTTTCGCGAATTTTAAGCCGGTTTGCTTGAATCACAATATTCAAGAACATTTTTGTTTTGCATTCATCACGAAGTCAGCTGTATCATACACAAGCTACATGTAACAAAAAAGTAATTGTATATGTTCGCTTTATTGTAAATTCTATTGCCTTCAGCAATTTCTTAAGGGAAGATAACCCTTGAGTTTGATTTTCTTGCTATCAATGTAAAGCTTTCATTTGATGGTTTAAACTCATTTAGAGTGATTAGCGACTTCAATTTTTTGTGGACGAAACTGCCTTTTTTGAGTGTAATTAACTGTTTCGTCCGTGCAGAGATTAGATGCCGAAGTGATGTAGATATTTAGCAGCATTCATCTCGAAATACGACTTTAGTCTAAGGTTACCATATCCAGGACCTTCTCATACCTTCTGTACTGGAGGAGGTCCGGCATTATAGCTCAGTGGTATAGAGGGTCGGGGTATAAATCCGGAGGTCGGGTGTTCGAACCTGGTTTGAGGTGAATTTTTCATCTGTGGCAGAGATGGGAATTTCCTTAGATCAGTTCTGCATTCTGCCGGCTACTCCGAATTAGGTTTTCCTGCAGTTTTCCTAATTCGTAAGGTAAATACCGGAGTAGTATAGAACAACTTAAGACCTTCTGCAGGGGAACCTCTAAAAAGCATTATGCGGGTCACTCTGTAATTGGGCGTAAGCCTGTTGAGGGCCTAGAACAAGAGGGACAACAAGAGGGACAATAAATGTCTTTCATGTACTTCGGAATGTTATTTATTCTTTCGCAAATGGGAAAGATTTGGAGTTGCTTTTAATTCTACTTGGGATGGACCTTCTTTAGCGTCAGATTTAAATTATTCAAATTCAAGATACTTAATCGAATTGTTAATTTTGTACAATGTATTGAGCGTTTTCCACAGTTATCTCTATTGTCCCTATATTTAGCCTTTGTGAACAGTAATTCGGAATTTTCTTCAGTTCGGTTCTTTTGGTCGCTGAGTTCTAGGGGAACACAGCATACCTTTGGCTTCAAATGCATTCTGACTAAATTTGTAGGAAATCTTTCGGCGTTTTAATTCATTTTACAATTTTGATCAATTTTTCAATAAACTTTCTTTAGCTTTTCAAATTCCATAAGTGTGATATTTGCGTCCCACCTTTCCGATAATAGTAAGCTTGGGTACGAGTGGGGCCACCTGGTCTTTCACAAAGTAGGAAATCCAGCCATTGTTGAGGTTTGTATTACTACGCTGGTGTTCCGAGTTCGTGTTTTGCCCGCTTTTTTAGCGCGGGAGCTGTCAACTTGGGTACATCTCAGAATATTACCTATAACTCTCGCCAAGAAAGATTACCGGTCACAGCACACCTTGTGTCAATTTACAATCTATGTTTTTTTTAAGATGCGAGCGACTTCCGGGATAGGATCGTGCCAATGTTGAACGAAAAGTCTTTTCGTTCAAGATTGGCACGATCCTATCCCGGAAGTCGCTTACATCTTTAGAAAAACGCAGATTGTAGACCGCGATCAGGTCTTCTGTGACGGGCAATCTTTCCTGGCGAGAGGTTTACGTCAATTAATGTTCCTAAATTATTTTAAATTTTTATATAAACTATTGGCCATTTAAAAAAATTTGCATATTTATTTGGTTTGCGGCAATTGGTATTCCTGAAGAAATCGACCCATCAGAACCATTTGCATGAGCCGATTTTGCTTCATTGATTGAAAAATTCCATTCAATTTCAGTGATACCATTTCTTTGGTTGGATTAAAATTTTGTTTAGCATTTAGAGCTGTGTGTATATTTTGAACAGAAGAAGTGCCAGTACGGTTGTGGTAAAAATAAAATATTTAGAAAAGGAGCGTGGACGTTATCTAATTCCGTTTGGTTCAATTAAATTAAATTTTTACTAGGCGAACATTTCATCTGCCATTTCTAATTTTGATCTGATGGCATTTGTAACGATTCAACAAACTTTACCAAGGAAAGGAAGTTATTTTCATTACAAAATGTCGTTTTTTACAGTGTAAGTATCACAAAATGGAGTAATAATAATTAGAAAACGTTAATATTCAATAAAATAACAGCACTAATAGGCTTTGTAATTTTCACAAAAGCAAATGATAACAGGGGGTTAAACAAATTAACATGTTACATCCTATGGGGAGTCTTTATACTCCCTGTATAAATACATAAATATAAATATAAAATAAAATTTAAAAAAATTTTGGGCAATGACGCCTTGTTAATTTACGAACTCAACCAAAATGCAGAGCTATAACAGTCCTAGACGGACAGCCACAAAGTGTGATTTCATAAAGAAGCTTTCTTAAGAATTCTTAATGTTTTTGAAATATGTGACGCCTCTCAATAATTTGTAACGGGCGATCAAAAATGAGTAGCGGTCGAGTCGCCTTTGGAAGTTAAGTACGATTTCCCATGTAAACAAAAATTCCAAAGGTGACTCGACAGCAATGGATCGCATAGTACTAATAAACTAAACTGTGGTGTACTTATGTAGGTAAACACCTACACAATAATCAGCAATCAAATCAAAAAGATTTCGATAATCCCTTTTCCCTATATGGTTTTGAATTTATTATACTTATACCTAATTTAAAATTTGTAGATGGTATTGGAAATACGTTTTATTTTGGTAGGTGTCAAGGGGTCGGTGAAGAAAAACCCATATTGTATCACAACAATCTTATCTACCACAAACTTCCTAAAAACAAGGCAAATTATTGCGAACTGTCACAAATTTTCTAGAGGAGAAAATAGGTATTAGGTGACTGTATAGGTAGAAGCAAAGGTAAGTAAGTAAATATCGTACTTATCTCATGATGGCCCGGTTCAGTTGAAAACTCTATAATATAAAGAGGAACTCCAAGCACGGACGTCTCGCTTAACGTATAAATTCTCGTAATATTCGGACACTTTGCGTTGACGTCTTCCAAAACTTGCAATAATTCCTCATTGTTGTGATGTTTAAATTCGAACTGTCGCGATGAAACCAAAAGAATCGAAAAGAAGAACACCAACACTCCGACACCCATAGCTCTTTGAATGTAAATTTTAATGTATATCGAATTGAATTTCAAGCGACGTCGATACGCCGGCGCTTGACGTAAGCAGAAGTATAGATTTTCTGATCATAGGTAAGTTTTATTATCTGATACTTTTTCGACAGGAGTGCGTGGGATATTCGCCTGGGCGTTAAACGGTTGTAACTGGATCAGCCAGAGTTCTGGAGCGGAATATATAATTGTAGGCTAAACCGCTAAACGATAGCAATTATGGTCACTTATATATAGCACATGGTGATATGCACTGTGGATTACATCTGATTACATATGGCATGCTTGAAAAATTTTAAATTCTCTAAAACTATCAATTTATACATATAGATAGGTAATAATAATAGCATGCTGCAAGGTAGGTAGTGGTTTTCTGGGCCGATTTTATTCCATTTTGTTCTGGTTTTAAAAATATCACGACTTACCAGTGAAAAGGACGAATTTGTAAATTTTCTTAGTACGAGAGTTTCTTATGCTATCTACCTATAGGCTTTGAATACTCAAACCTATAGGTATTGTAACGATATTTATATATTCGGGTTCGATTTATATCAATATTTATTAAACAAAACTAAAACACTATAAAAATCCGTACAATTTATTTGCCTTCTGACGTTTTCTTTGAAACCAAGTAGAACAAAGAGCGTTGACTATCTTCTAAGCGCAGTACTTTACCCACTCGTGGTCTTTGCTTTAACAACTCGTCTATTCTTCCAAATCTATTCCGGAATACGGAAGCTATACCTCTATCCATGCGAAGGTCTTCGGCGACACAATGGGCGATGGAAACGTTAACCGGAAGCTCAAAAATATTTTGACAAATTTCCTGAGTAACGCCAAATCGAGCTTTCTTCCGCTGGGCGTAATTTGACATAAAATCGTTAAAGTTTGGCTCGATCCCAAAGCTGCGTTCCTCTTCTCGAATACCTCTAACTTCTTCGTTGTTGTTGGATCCGGCATATCGTGCGAGTCGATTAATGTGGACAACTTTCGGTTTTCGGTGGTTCATTCTGATACGATATATCACGTCATTTATTTTCTTGATCACCTCATACGGACCTTCCCATTGTCTTTGTAGCTTGGGAGAAAGACCTCTTCGTCTCTGTGGATTGTGCAGCCATACCAGATCTCCAGCTTCAAAAGTTTCATTGGCCGAGCGGAGGTTGTATTGATTTTTCATGCGATCGCTGGCAATCTGAATATGACTTCTAGCCAAGTCGTGAATGTCGTTCATCTTCGCCTTTAGTTGGTCAACATAATTTTCACCTGCGACATATTCTTCATGGGGTTTACGCCCAAACTCGAGGTCACATGGAAGGCGTAGTTCACGACCCAACATAAGGCAGGTAGGAGTCTGACCCGTGGTCTCGTTGACGGCTGATCGATATGCCATAAGGAACAGGTGGAGGTACTGGTCCCAATTTTTCTGATGTTCTGCCACGACTTTTGAAAAATATTTACCCATCGTTCGATTCATTCTCTCAACCATTCCATCTGACTGAGGATGCAAAGGTGTTGTTCTTGTTTTATTGGCTCCTACCAATCGACAAACATCTTGGAACAAAGCCGATTCAAAGTTCCTTCCTTGGTCTGAATGGATTTCTATAGGAACACCAAAACGTGTAAAGAACTCCTTTACCAACACTTCTGCAACTGTTGCTGCCTCTTGGTTTGGAATAGCGTAAGCTTCAGTCCACTTTGTGAAGTAATCCATAGCCACTAGGATATATTTATTTCCGCCATCTGTCTCTGGAAACGGTCCTGCGATATCGATAGCAACTCGTTCCATCGGACTACCAACGTTATACTGCCTCATGGATGCCTTCTTCTTGGAAACTGGTCCGTTTCCAGTAGCACATAACTCACATTTTTGACACCATCGCCGGACATCTTCTTTACGGTTGACCCAATAGAATCGCTCACGTACCCTTTGCAACGTTTTCGTAATACCAAAGTGTCCTCCGGAAGCGCCGTCATGCAATTTTCGCAATACTTCCGACACTTTGCTTCTAGGTACTACTAATTGCAGCGTCGATTCGGTGCCATCTTCACTTTCAAGGGTCCTATACAACAGGTTGTCTTTCAGAGTCAGGCTATTCCATTGGCCCCAATAATTCTTTACTTCAGGACTTGTGGCACTAATGTCTTGCCAGCCTGGTCTTTGTCCGTGGCGCATCCAATTCAGAACAGTTTTTATACTTGGGTCGTTTTCTTGGGCCGTTTTGATTTCGCTTGGCTTCCATTCCTCACTCTCTACAGTTGTTCGTCGCAGATGGCCAATCTTGTCTTCTATTTTAGAACAATGTGTGCAGTTGTCTTTGCACGGTCTTCTTGACAAAGCGTCTGCATTATTGTGAACTTTTCCAGCCCTGTGTTCAATGTCGTAGTCATATTCCTGAAGACGTTCTAACCATCTTGCCACCTGTCCTTCTGGGTTTCGGAACTGCAAGAGCCACTTTAGCGCTGCATGATCTGTCCTTATCAGGAACTTGCGGCCGTAAAGGTACTTATGGAAATGTTCGCATGCCTTTACCACACCCAGGAGCTCTCGCCTAGTCACACAATAATTCCTCTCGGGTTTCGACAGTACTTTGCTGAAATAGGCAATGACTCTTTCCTGTCCGTCTTGCAATTGAGAGAGAACAGCTCCAATGGCGGTGTTACTGGCATCGGTATCTAGCACAAACTTTCCTTCATTTCTGGGGTAGCCAAGGATAGGTGCGCTAGTAAGAGCTTGTCGGAGATGTTCGAAAGCTCTTTGACAGTCTTCACTCCATTCGTACTCATTGCCCTCTTCTGTCAACTTTATTAATGGTTTGGCAATGTTGGCAAATCCTTTCACGAATCGTCTATAATAGGTGCACAAACCGAGGAAACTTCGAATCTCGTGCTTGTTCTCAGGAATCGGCCACTCTTGAATCGCTATAATCTTCTCTGGGTCAGCTGTAACACCATCACGAGATACGATGTGCCCCAAATATTTAACTTCTTTTTGGAACATAAAGCATTTCTTGGGACTTAGTTTTAAATTGGCCTCTCGTAATCGTCCAAACACCTCTCTCAGGTTCTTTAGGTGTTCTTCAAAAGTTTTTCCTACGACAATTACATCATCCAAATATACCAGACATGTCTGCCACGTTAGTCCCCTTAGAACTGCTTCCATGAGTCTCTCAAACGTCGCGGGGGCATTACACAATCCGAAAGGCATTACTGTGAATTGCCAAAGTCCAGAGCCTATAGAAAACGCGGTCTTCTCTCGGTCTGTCGATTCCATCCCCACTTGCCAATAACCACTCTTTAGGTCGAGTGTGGAAAACCATTGGGCTCCAGATAGAGTGTCCAAGGTGTCGTCTATTCTCGGCAGTGGATAGCTATCTTTCTTGGTGACCGAATTTAACAGACGGTAGTCAACGCAAAATCTTGTGGAGCCATCCTTCTTCTTTACAAGCACTATCGGTGATGACCAAGGACTATTCGATGGCTCGATGACACCTTGTTTTCTCATGTCTCTAATAATCTCCTCAGCTTCGTCTCGTTTAGCCAATGGGAGTCGCCTTGGCTGTTGTCTAATCGGTTGGGAATTGCCAGTATTTATTTTATGGGTGACTATGCTTGTCTTGCCCTTGTCCTGGTCGTTTACCGCGAACACATCTCGGAATTCCACAAGCATATTTTTCACCTTTTGTCGTTGTCTATTGTCCAAATCTGGGGTGTTTTTAATGACCATATCTATCAGCTCTCTTGGATACTTTCCTTTAGATAGATTTTCCGATCTCACAGAGCGAATAGCCGAGATGGGCACACACTGTCCAACTACAGTCCGTTTGCTTAGCCTAACAGGACTATCTTTCAAATTCATAATTCGAATCGGAACGCCATTTTGAACTTTTACCAGAGCCCTAGCCACTAGAAATTCCTTTTCGTTTAGTGCTTCGACTATCCGTAGGCTTCCCTGGCGACA